AAGCTCCGGAACTGACGCAGGCCGTCTGGGGGCAGAACATGGATCGCCGGCCGGTAGGTCGCCGGGTCGAACGGGCGCTCGCTCAGTGGTAAGAGCTCGACCCCGGGATCCATCTCGTGGTCCGGGGGAGTCCCGCCACGTGGAATGTCGTCCACCATATCAGAAATGATGAGAAAATGGCCGGAGGAAGGAAAATCGGGCCGGAATAAGAAGACTCAACCGAAAAGTCGACTCAGGTCTCGCCGGAAGAAGCTCGTGGAGTAACCAGGATGGATTCTCCTATAAATCATTGCAACAGCCGTTCTCCTAGACACGGAGGGGCTTCCAGTTCAGGAACCATTTGGCATGGACTTGCTACACTTTTACCCTTTGAGAGGCTCGCTGGGCCGAAAACCCAGAAGGGCGACCCAGGCAAAAGTTAGAGCAAGAGAAAACTACAAAAAAGACAAAAAAGAAGAAAAGAAAAGAATTGAAAAAAAAGAGAAAAGATAAAAAAGAAGAGAAAAAAAAAGAAAAGAAAAAAGAAATAGAAAATGAAAAGAAGCTCGCAAGGTCGAAAACCCGCATTGGGCGCCTTGGCAAAAGTGAGAGCCAAACAAAGTGAAGGTTAAAATACCCGAGAGTACCTTAACCGGAACTATGTGAGGCTTGATTCCCATGTTTGGGATACGTAGGCAACTTCATCATGAAGTCCAGCCCCCAACGCTTTCATAGCGTCTCAGTCCATGCAATGGTTTCAATTTCATCTCAAGGTCCAGTTGTCAACACCCTTCAAGGTGATTGTGTCCATATATGTGTTGTGATCGTCTTCGTCATCGCTGTGTTCAAGAGCTCGACCACCACCAATGAAGACTGTCTGCGGATTGCTACGGCACCATCCCAAACAAGGGGCAACTTTCCGTTGCCGCGGGCCACCGTGAGCCGCCATTCAAACCAGGGGCAACTTTCCGTTGCCTCCCACCCCCTTTCAGACCAGGGGCAATTTTCCATTGCCTCCGATCCGAGGTTGCGCATCTCAAAGAGTAAGTTCCATGCTTGTCGAGCATCAGCTGTTTGAAAAATAGTTTTTTTTTTGAAAATTTTTACTAAGGTTGACTATTTTCTCGAAAACTATCCCATTTTCCAAAACTGGACCATTGTCTTGGACCCAAAAGGGAAAACTTTCAGTGCTTGTTGCCTGACTTGCATGCTTTTCAAATCAAAAAATGAACAAGTACGTCAATTCGACTCTCGTTTTGGTCAAAACCGTTTTAGTAAAAAGCAAAAACGAAAAAATGGTTAAAATGATGAACTAGGGGCACAGTTGAGTCAGGCGCTCTCTTTCCCCCGTCATCAACGTACTTGCCAGAAGAGCACTCTGCCCACCAGAAGAAATAGCCGGGA